ACTGACTTTAGCATGAGGATGGGCAGCAGCATCTCATCTGCTGAGTCATCTCACTTGCTCCAGATGGGGTTAAGACTACTATTTTCCTTATCTTCCCTGACTCCAAGTCTCTTTCCCACTTGAGGTCCAAGAATTCCCTTCACAAAGTCTCTGCTCCCCCCAGCTCCACCCCAAGAACCCAGAATAGCCCTCTCCACTGTCAGCACCTTGCCCCAGTTCATCTGTGACTGTCAGACTCTGTTCTCAATACATCTGTTCCTGTCTTTCAGAAAGATGCAAGTGTAAAACTTCAGTCGGGAACCTAGGTCAATCTAGCAATCACCAGGCAACTGAGTTTCTATCTCACGGCCTCAGCTGTCCTCATTACAAAATTAGAATGATGTATGTATCAACAGGTTTATGAGATTAAATGTCAAAATAACCCTCTCTGTTTCAGTGTTTAAGTCTTAAGCCTCACTCATGATGCTACTCATCATTAAACCAGTATGCCACCAGCGCCCAGATACTATTTTTCTTCATTTATGTATTTTAAAAATAAACATTAATATTAAAAAGCCTGCAAAAAAAAATCACACATCAACATTAACTACCATTAAAAAAGAAAAAAAAATCTTGGCCAGGCAACGGTGGTGCATTCACACCTTTAATCCCAGCACCAAGGAGGCAGAGACAGGTACATCTCTGAATTTGAGGCCAGGCTGGTCTATAGAGGGAGTTCCAGGACAGCCAGGGCTGTTACACAGAGAAATCCTGTCTTGAAAATCCAAAACACAAACCAAACAAGCCAAAGCAGCCATGAGCTGCCCAAGGTTGCACTCTTAACCCATAAACTATTTATCCAGCCCCAAGGAAAATCTCTTTAGAGAAATAAAAAACCTAAACACCAAGCACACCTTACTTCTATTTGGAATTAAGCCAATGATGGACAATAAAGATAGTAAAAAGAAACTTAATTCCCTATGTAACAGTAATGTGCTTTTTTTTTGGGGGGGGGTGCTGGTACTTGGGAGCAAACTCAAGACCATGTCTGTAGCTGAACATAATGTAATTAAGAGCTATACTCCTGGCCTAAAAGGGTCACCTGAACATTTTACTGAACATTTTACATATGCATGCCTGAGTGCATTGCACCAAATGCATGCAGGAGCCCGAAGAGGACATAAGGTATCAGATCCCCTGAAACTGAAGCTACAGATGGTTGTGAACTGCCATGTGGGTACTGGGAATTGAACACAGATCCTCTGGGAGAGCAGTTAGTACTCTCAACTGCTCAACACACCCACCCCACCTTCTCTGTCAAAACATGGTCTCACTATGTAGTCTTGACTGGCCTGGAATGAAGAACAGTTTGGTCCTGTACTCACAGAGATCTACTGCTTCTACTGTGCTACAAAGTCTGGCAAAATAGTAATATTTATAAAGACACAGGTCTCCATCAGTCAGCCTTTATAAAACTCAGATGTTACCCAATGGGTTATCAGGCTTGGCTCATTTGCCAATGCATGCTCACATAAAATTTTCTTTGTGAACTGTGTTTGTCCCTTCTTCCCTGGCCCCTCTTTTGGCTTTTTGAGACAGGGTTTCTCTGTGTAGCTTTGGAGCCTGTCCTGGAACTCACTCTTGTAGACCAGGCTGTCTTCAAACTCACAGAGATCCACCTGCCTCTACTCCAGCACTGTCCCTTTTTCTTAAATTCTAAAGAGGAGCACAATTTCACACAAAAATAAAGGAGCAACAAACTTGAATGTCAGAAAAAAAAGTTTTTGTGAGAAAACCAAGAAACTGCAGATAGGCCTTCTCTGAAAAACTCTGCAAAGTCTATGATGCACAGAAATCCAACATAGACTCCCAGCTCAGAGATACACAGAATAACCACATGAATATACTGGATCATTTAAACTGACTCAAAGTTATAGTTATGTCTTCTGAAGAACTGAAAATAAAGTAGCTTATTTTACTGAACTACTAAATCTTATTCGCAGAAATTCAAGTCACATTCCTCATTTAGTAAAAATATTTTAATTGAAAGAAAGAAAGGAAAGGAAGCAAGCAAGGAAGGAAGGACTGAATGTTACATTAGCACTCAAAATGAAAGGCTCACGTTCAGTGTTGTGTCTATAGCCCCAGCTGCTTGGGCGGTAAGAGAGGCAGCTCTCTTAGAGTCCAGCAAAATTAGAAAAAGAACAAAATGGGGAAAGAAAGTAGGGAAGGGCAGAGAATGAGACCAGAAAGAAAGGAGAGAGGGAGGTAGGAGGGGAAGATGAAGTCCTTGTTTTCATAGGAACTCATTGGCAATTTTTCAAGTGTGCATTTACAGCACAATGCAGAACACAAGAGCATTTTCTATTGACTCTTATTACATGGCTGGCTTTTCCCTTAGACATTTGTGCAGGGAAGACCTTAATGATGACCCAATACTTGAAGACCAACTAAATTAACTCTAGTTCTTTGGATTAAAGACTTTTTCTAATGAAAATGATATTATAAGCCTTACAAAAGCAGCTTCAGAAAAGTCTTGATTCTGTCTCCTGAGGGCTCTAAGACTTCCCACATAGACAGCAACTGTACTGTCCCAGAACGAGGGCAGAGGCTGAGTTTCCTCAAACCCTGCCTACCCATATGCCTGTGGCACAAAAGAGATACTCAATAAACATTTAATGCATTTTGTGTTGCTATGAACACAGCTGGAAAAAGAAAAAAAAGGGTGGTTGACTATGCCTCAATTTCCTTGTTTGGATATATATATATATGCTCTGACCTTCTTCAACCTGCAAACATTCCTTTTCCTCTCATAACAATAATCCTATATATCAAACCTCCAGGCCTCTTTTCTCCACTGTTTCATGTCTCCCTTTTATGTAACACAATGCAATGTAACAGTGCTTCAGTCAAACTAAAGCAATCCCTCAAGAATTTGGCTAGTGCACCTAATTCATGCTCTAGGGTTTGATGCTTCTAGAAAAAGACCATGCAGGATATTACTCAATTTGTGTCAGGGAAACAATGCAGACAGCCTCACATTTAACTGGATGAAATGAAACAGTGTCATCCCAGTTCAGAGACAGTACATTTGCATCCCTTCTATCCACCTGGGGATTCAACTTAGGGACCTTATACGTGCTAAGTAATCACTTTACTGAAGTCAGTGCATAGCTCAGTCTGTCCTTGAACTCTGGTCTTCTAGAAGGCTGGGACTTGTCAGGTGTATACCACCGCACCTGGTTCAAAGCTCTCTTCAAAGCACTGCCACTCACAAATTTTTATTTAGGTTGCTTTAACCTTTCAGACTAAAACAGAACACATGTTTAACCTTAGAATTACTATCCTATGCCACGTTGGTGGCGCACACCTTTAATCGCAGCACTCGGGAGGCAGAGGCAGGCGGATCTCTGTGAGTTCGAGGCCAGCCTGGTCTACAGAGCGAGTGCCAGGATAGGCTCCAAAGCTACACAGAGAAACCCTGTCTCGAAAAACCAAAAATAAATAAATAAATAAATAAAATAAAAAAATTTACTATCCTAGTGTATCATTGTGAAGAATTTAAATTTACAAAGAAAAAACGAAAACCAGGCTGAAACAGTGGAACATGAATATGGCAGGCTGGCTTTTATTTGGGACTATGTCCCAAGCTGAAGAACAATTAGAAATATATAATAAGAGAATAAGTTTTTTACCTGCAATACTAGCTTCTGACAGGTATGCCATCAACTAGGTGTAAGAACAGATAGCTTTCCTAAGTAACTACTTTTCCAAAGTTAATTAGCTTTTGGCTACTGGGTAAGTAACCTACTCTTAGTAGGGAAAGGAACCAAAACATGCTCAAGTTTTAGAGACTGACCAAATGACTCCATTCTCTATTAAGCAAAACTGTCCCAAAGGAAATGGCACCCACAGTGACAGACTACAAACACCTGGATTGAAGTCTCTGTGCCATAGGTGTACAGAGGTTCCAGGATGCACTCCCACCTTTATACTTCTGTTTCTCACAGAGGGGACTGTGTTGTTTAAGTCAACATTTAAGTCAACATTTATGAAGCTTCGGGATTCAAAAATACCTTATGGTTTTCTAAGGGCAAAAATTCTATAAATACAAAACAGACATAGAACATATTCACAGTATAGGATCGAGACAGTGTGTTATTTTCGGTTACCTTCAGCTCTAGGGTAATCTTCCCTTATCCAAATGGTTTTGATGTGCTTGTTCTGATCACACACACACACACACACACACACACACACACACACACACACACACACTCACACACACACACTTTTAGGGAAACCATGCATTAGTAGCCTCTATTCTATATTTTAGATTAGTGAAATCACTACTGGCTGTGATGGGCATGCTCTGTTTCAAAGTTCAGGAAACTACTGTCTTTATTCACAGCTGAACAGAAATTAAATAAGACTTCAGTTTTTTCAGAGCATGTAAAAAGTGCAGAAGTTTTCATACTGTGGTTAATTTAGAAAGAGGCATGCTGAAAGCATTCTTTTCTGAGAGGAAAATGAAGGGAATATTTGAATCTGATTTACAAGGACAAATTATGGTGACCAGATCAGACTATCTATCACACAGTGAAACTGTAAGGAAGAAGGGCCCAACACTGGAGATATGGAGGCTGCTTTTCAGCATGCCCAGTGTCAGTCAGAATTCAGGAACACAGGAAGGATGCAAGTAGGTCTGAGTCACAACCTTGAGTATTTAAAGTCATTAGTTGGCAAGCAACTAATGACTGACAGACTGTAAAAAATGACGCGCAGCCTACGGCTATTGGAGAGTGATCAAGAGACACCAACAACTTAATTATAATCAAGGTTTGTTGAAATACAAGCCCAATGTCATCAGATAGTGTAAACTAAGTCAAACGTTGACTTACTGAGCAGTTCTAGGTACTTTGTTTTGTTTAAGAGGTGGGCCTTAAAGCACGGTGGGTTCCTATCTGTAAACCCAGCAGAGGGATCAGAAGTTCAACTATGGTGAACACCGGGACTGTAAGATGGCGTTGGTGGTGCCTCTGAAAGAGAAGAGGCTCATGGAGGTTAAACTTGGAAAGCTGACAAGCTGGATATTGATGCGGAATTTCACTCCCAGTGGCATTGTGGGAGCCTTTCAGAGAGGTTATGACCGGTATTACAACAAGTACATCAATGTGAGGAAAGGCAGCATTGTGGGGATTAACGTGGTGCTGGCAGCCTACGTGGTTTTCAACTACTGCATTTCTTACAAGGAACTCAAACAAGAGCGGTGACTCAAGTACCAGTGAAGAAGGGTCACTATGGACGGCACCGCACGCCTGAGCATAATCGCCTGTCCCACTCCCATCCATGAAGAATTCAACTGTGGCTGAGTCTTCAAACTCTGACTAAGAACTAGTATCCAATAAAAGGTGCCTGACTGGTTAAGGTTTTAAAAAAAAAAAGTTCAACTACACATCTAGAACCCTATCATAATTAAAGAACAGAGCAACAATAGAACAAACCACTATCAACGAGTCAAACAGAAACCCAAAAGAGGTCTTCCTACCATGCTGCTGGCCCCAAGTTTCTGCCTCAGTAAGTCCAAATGTATGCCACTGTACATGGCTCAGATTTTTTTTCAGTTGGGGAAAACTAACACCATGAAGACTAAGTCAAACAGATCTGTTTCGATAAGTTGTGATCGTTCACTCACTGTATTTATTATAAGGAGGTGTGGTGACACAAACCGAAGGTAAGATCAGAGGAATCCCAAGTAGGTTAAAGAAAAAAGTGTTAAAGAGACTTCACATATTTTTGCTTGTTTGCAGTACTGGAGAGCAAACATAAGGCTTTGAACACCACACTCACACTGAGCTGCCTTCTCCACCCTGCAATCACCAGCAAAGCGCTGCTACAGACTCACTCTGGGAAGAAGATCCCTTACAGTCTGAATTTGAGATTTTACATCTATCAGCAGACAAACATTTTAAAAAGATATGTAAGAAATTAAAAGGGCAGGGAAGTGGGGCTGGAAAAACCTCTAGTTTTGAATTTAACTCTAGCTTACAACTAAGCCAACAAGGCTCTGACATGATCAGTGTTAATGTTTATTGAGCACTCAGGCATGTCAAAACTTAAGAAGTAATCATACATTGGGTTATTTCTTCAAGGATGGCTGTCTTCATCACTGGAGATTTCAAAGGTAATAAAACACAAGTATCAGAATCAAAATGCCTAACTTTTAGCATTTAGACATTTTAAACAAAGTCTGAATATTTTTGTACTAATTATATCACAACATCTTTGAAAATTGAGAAAAACTAGCAAATAGAGGCATTTAACACTTTTTGAATCTCCCATTCCTTCAAAAAAGTTCACAACTGAGAGTAACCATGATCCTTCATTTTTTGGAAATAAGGTACAAGTACTTCCCAGGAGCTGCTTAGTTTAGTTTACCACTAATAAAGTTTTTCGCCAAAGTTCTAATGGTGTAAATTTGATGAACAATGTAAGCTACAAATAACTAACATGGAATAAGTACTTACCTTTGACCTCGGAGCCATAATAATCCTGTGTGTCTTGCTGGAAGGCAGCACAGGGTACTTTTGTAATTTTTAGAGCACCAATTTGGAAAAAATGGCAGGCCCAGTTATAAGTTCATTCCCACTAAGAAGGAATAAAATACATGATCCTATTTCCTATTATTTAGCTGTGCTGTACCAAAGTCAACTAATAGCTCTTTACAAATTTTAAACACAGGTCAAATAAGCCTTTAACTACAGCCCTCTAGAGGCTGAGTCAAGAGAATCACAACTTCAAGCCAGTATTATTTTACACAGTTAACACCCTCTCTCAAAAAGAGAAAAAAGACAGGAAGGAAGGAAAGAAGGAAGGAAGGAAGGAAGGAAGGAAGGAAGGAAGGAAGGAGGGAATTTGAGTAGAGAACAGCTGGAATTATAAAATAAAAATTTAAGACTTTTTTGTTGATATATAATGTACTGTTTCGGGATTGTACAATTTGTAGAAAGACAAGAATATGAAGAAAGATGATATGGTCTACTTTTCAACAAAATGAGTAACATTCTAACAAAACAAAACAAAACAAAATTGAAGTCATATATACTACAACTGTTCTTTGTATTTAGAGACAGAAATTTCTATGTAGCTCAGGATCGATTTAAATTTAGGGTCTTCCTGCCTCTACCTACTTACTAAAAACTGAGGTCTCAGGCCCATAGCATGATGCCTAGGTTCTTTTATTTATTTATTTTTAAATACTTATTTTTATTTTATGTTTTTTGGTGTTTTGCCTGCATGTATGTCTGTGTGAGGGTGTCAGACCCCCTGGAACTGAACTGTAGACAGCTGTGAGCTGCCATGTGGGTGCTGGGAATTGAACTTAGGTCCTCTGGAAGAGCAGTCAGTGTTCTTAACCACTGAGCCATCTTTCAGTCCCGCCTAGGTTCTTTTAATATATAAAGTGTACTTCTAATACAGGTGAGGGAATGAACTATGTATTTGTGGATCACACAGCTAAAGATCTTTCCAAATCAGGGCTCTCAAACATATTCTATATTAGGGGAAAGTATTCATGAGTTCTCTGTAAGAAAAATCACAATTTTATGAATTATACATGTGTGTATATGTATGCATAGAGGTTGGTATAAGTTGTCATTATTACCTACTACCTTATTTTTTGAGATATGATCCCTTGTTGAACTTACTAACTAGTCAGGCTGGTTGGAAACTCTAGGATAATCCTGTCTGCTATTCCAGCACAGAAATTATAGGTGCAGGCTGCCATGTCTGCTTTGTACATGGGTGCTGGGGACCGGAATCCATTGTACCCACCAAGCAATCTGCTAAGCCTCATGACAAAAAAATTGGGGAGGAGTATTATATGTTTATAGTGTATGTACATGTGGAGGCTCACGGTTGATGGAGGGTGTCTTCCTTAATCACTTCTCACCTGATATACTGAGGCAGAGGTCTCTAACTGAACTCTCACCATTTTGGCGAGTCTGGCTAGTCAACCTGCTCCCGGGAGCTCATCTCCTGGGATCACACGTGTGCTTCCACACCCACCTAACTGACAGGATGTGAGAGAGCTAATCCAGTCCTCATCCTTACACAGCAAGTGCTTTCCCATCTGAACCATCACCCCAGATCTCCAAAGTCGATTTTTAATTTATTTAACTTTTTATTTTATGTGCACTGATGTGAAGATGTCAGATTTCCTGGAACTGGAGTTATAGACAGTTGTGAGCCGCCACGTGGGTGCTGGGAATTGAACCCATGTCCTCTAGAAGAGCAGCCAGTGCTCTTAACTGCTGAGCCATTTCTCCAGTCCTGATCCCCAAATTCTTAATTTTATATTTTTATTTTGACCATCTATACATAATTGTAAGTAAACATTTTGGATCTAGATGGGCTCTTTATAAATGTTTATGATAACCCCAATGTAAAATGATTATGATTTGTGCTAAGCAAGTGTGAAATAAAAACATCACATATTTGAAGGTTTTCAATAGTTAACCTCAACACCAGTGGTTGCAATTCTGGGCCAGGTTAATCTTGATTTTGATGCATTGTGCACTGTAGAATACTTAACAGTATCTTTGAATCCCACTCAATTTGATTCCCCAAAGTACCATCTCCTAGTTAAGGCAGCCTGAATTTTAGCCAGACAACAACTGCTTAGTGCCCCCTGAGGTAGTTATTTCCAAGCTGATAACTCCTGCAAATGATAAGAGTAGTAAAGGAAATCAGTCAACATAAGGTATATAGGAGAATGAATGAGAATGTCAAAATCTAACAATTAAAGCTTTAACAATTTCTATTACACTTAAGTCAAGAGCTATATCACTGAGGTATTAATATCAATATGAATTTTATTAATTTGGCACTTTTCCTAAATATTTTGCATAGAAAGTCTTTCCTCTTAAAAAGCAACTTTGACAGCTGGGGAGACAGCCCAGCAATCCTAACACTGGGTGGGTATGTATGAGGTAGGCAGGAGGGCCATCACAAGCTCAAGACCAGCTTGGTCTACATAGGGAGTTCCTGAGACATTTAGCAAGACCTTGCTTGTTTGAAAGCAATTTAACTGAAGTAACTAACTACCAAGAGCCTAAGAACGTGGTCCTGGATGTTCTGAGAAAGCAAACTGGGTAAAGCCATGAGGAACGTGCCAGTAAGCAGCACTCTGCATGGCCTGTGTCTCGGCCCTTGCCTCCAGGTTCCTGCCCTCACTGCCCTCAGTGATGAACTGTTGCCTAGAAACTAAGCCCTTTCCTCCCCAAGTTACTTTTAGTAATTTTATTTTTCTTCTGGATTTAGTCACTTTCCAAGGTATATAGAATAACAAAATGACTTACTGATACAAAACAGTAGTCATAAAACTTGAACTTTTACATTCAGAGGTTCAGAAGTCCACAAGTTTAAAATGCTAAGAAAAGGAGAGAAACTGACATAAAAGTTCTCCTAATGGTCCTCAGCTAAATCACCGTATTAAAAAAAAAAAATTAAAAAATTAAAGTCACAAACATCACCTAAGGTTTAAGAAATTCACAATTTATTATTCTACTTAAAATGGTGATGGAGTGGCAGGGGGAAGAGGGGATCTATGATAGGATAGCTCCCAGAGGGAGAAAAAAAAATCTAGTGATCAGTGGCCAAAACTAAGGTATCAGTCACATTCATAAACATCAATGGCTCTAACAATTAAAAATATTTTTCCTTGGTACCAAGTAGTTGTTCCTTACCTGCTTGTGTGCATGGTCGTAAGAGTTAATGTGGTTGTCAAATTCCTGATGCTTCTGGTACTGTTTGTCACAGAGTTCACAGTAAAAGTTGGCTCTAAGATCTTCTAAGGCTTTTGCGATTGCCTTTTCTTTGTCAACATAATCCTGTTAAGAATCACAAAATACAAACAAGAAATTAAAAAAAAAAATCAATAGGATTTAGACAGCTATTACTCAAGTAGTGAGTAAAATAACTTTGCATAAAGTTCAATGGCCCTGATAAATGCTGGATAGAACTCAAGGGGCAAATTGGTAGGGCAACAATTTGTATAAGCACTAACAAGTGTTCAAGAGAGTGTACTATTATTCCCCTACCATTATTATTATTATTGTTGTTGTTGTTGTTGTTATTATTATTCCTACTAATTGTTGTTGTTATTATTATTATTATTATTATTATTATTATTATTATTATTATTATTATTATTATTATTATTCCTACTACCATTCCCTATTTTGTCCTGAACCAAAAACCAACCAGATTCAAT